GAGCCAGATGTGCGAGGTCCTGCTCTGGTCCTGAGCCAGATGTGTGAGGTCCTGCTCTGGTCCAGAGCCATGTGAGACGCGACCGCGGCTCTTTCAATGATTCATGTGAAAGATGTCTCAGAATTGCTGCTTGTTTTCTGCCTATCTGCTCTTTGCTGTTTGTGCATCGTTCTGTGCTCCTCGTTTCAATCCCAGAAGTGATGTCAAAGTAACTGCTGTTGCAGCTCTGGTAGWTTTTTAGAACAGTTGGTTGTTCTCAGAACTCCAGGGCAGAGAGTTGGGCGATTCTGGGCCGATCCCAGCTCCTCATTGAACAAATGCAGGGAGCTCAGGTCTTTCAAATGCAAGAGCTCACAAGAGAACATGAGCGCTAAAAAGGGATTTAGTTGTTGTTGTTATTCCAAACGATCCTTTTGGAGGGCCTGGATGCCTTGTCCTGACCTTTGAGCCCCAGCATTTAGTTGAGGTGGATTACATAAGGCCCCGTCACACAAACAGCCCCTCCAGTTTAGAGAACATGGGTAAGCTTGTAAAGTCACAGCAACCTGATCAAAGTGAGTACAAATCCTTCCCTTCAGGGCTAAATTTGTTCTGACATTGTCTTGTTAAACAGTGAAACCGTAGCAGATAAGAGGAGCAGAAAGCTGCTGGCTGGGACAATAGTGCAGAGTTACTGGGAGAAGCTCTGTCTTTCCCACGGCCCTTCCTCGGGATCTCTGCTGGCAGACAAGGATTTCTTGTACCAGACAAGGATTTCTTGTACCAGACAAGGATCTCTGGTGGCAGACGAGGATGGTTGGTAGCAGACATCAGGACTGCAGCACATCTCCATGCCCAGCACAGAACTGAGCTCCTCCACCATGGACATTTGGGATTCCATGATCCTTGAGGTCCTTCCAACACAGATATTCTATTCCATGACTACTGGAGGGAAGGAGCATTAGGGGAAGGTTGAGTTGGAGGTGGAATGATGAGAGAGGGACCCCCAAAGTCTGCAGGAGCAGTGATTCTGAACTGCTCTTTCAAAAGCCAAAGCTCCCCTTGCCATGGACCTCCTYCAGTGTCCTGTGTGGGTCCTGGTGGCCGGGCAAAGTCACCTTCTGCAAGTGACACTAAGCAGGGGACATTCCCAGCGGGAAGGCTGCGGCTTTCCATGGCTCACATGGGCTGCCACCCCCTCCAAACCACGCAGAGAGGAGCTGTGGTAGCAGAGAGGAGCTGTGGTAGCTGGGCACGCTGGGGTGTGGGGAGGATGGTGATGATGATGGTGATGATGATGGTGATGATGATGGTGATGATGATGATGGTGATGATGATGATGATGGTGGTGGGGAGGAAGGCGGGGCCCTACCACGTCCCTCTCGGCGTTGCAGGCTCCGTGTTCCGCGACGAGTTCGACCTGGCCATCCTCCAGCTGCAGGAGAACAACCGCCTGGAGATCCTGAAGCGCAAGTGGTGGGAAGGAGGGAAGTGCCCCAAGGAGGAGGATCACCGAGCCAAAGGTGTGTGGGCACAGAAACCTCCTGGCCACAGGTGCAAGGGTGAACACCCAGCAGATGCTGAGGTTGGCTCAGCTCACAGGAAGATGGAGGCTCAGTTTTGGGGATCAAGGCTGTGGTGGGAAGTGAGGAGACAGCCTGGGAGCGTGGAATGCTCGGGTTTTTGAGGGATGACTTTTCCTGCAGCTGGTGAACTTTCGGAATGCAGGCTGGGTAGGCACAGTTGTCATCCCATGGGAAGCGAGTTGTCCAAGGGAGATGGGATGAGTGACCCCATGGAGGGGCTGTTTCCTCCTCATGGACCAGAGGTGCTGGGGCAGAGAGACCCACCCCATAACCAGGTACCCCTGGGTGGCAGGGACCATATTTTGTCACCCTATAATGTGACACAGCACTCTGCTCCTGTTTGGAACCTCTCCTTCCCTCTGCAATCCAAAACCTGCACGTCTGCCGGGTTTTCTGCCTGGGAATCACTTTTTTCCCCTTCTCCTGACCTGAGATTCCTTCCCTGGCAATTCAAGGAGAAAGCCGAGCCGCTGTGCTGTGCCTCACGCTGTGTGTTTTTGCCTGGGGCAGAGATAGCGGGAACAACCGAATGACAAATATTGGAGGCATATGGAGGGTAAATTAGCTTCTAATGAATGTCTGGGAAAATGGATGGCTGAAGGAATCAGACCAAAATCCTGCGTTCCTTGAAGGGAGATGGATCTCCACCACAGGCCCGCTGGTTAATGGTTTCGAGTGAAAACGTCTTTTAAACAGCCAGGGGAAGGGACACAAGGACTTTATTAGTGCATTTGTAAACTGAGGAGCAAATTCTTTTGGGTAATGCTATGCAAATTGCCATAAAAGCCACCACATTAGGCTGATGGCCCAGCGTGAGAGCAGTTGCCAGCTTAACACAGTTGCTGCATTTTTTTTTTAGTTTTGGCAGCAGCCCTTTGCTCAGCAAGTGTTTGCTGGGAGGCCAGAGGCCCCCAGGTCAGAGCACAGCCTTGTGGCCTCTGTGAGAGCAGAGAAAAGAGTCAGGGCAGKGCTGGGAAAGCTCTTTTGGGGTTTTTGACCTTACAGCATGTGTAGGGGTGTGTGTCTGTGCAGTTCCTGATGGGAATTCATGAAGCCAGGAGGTGATGCTCTCTTTTGGGCAGTGCTGAACCACAGGCAACCCCAGCTATTTATCTCCAGGCCAGAGGTGTCGTGACCCAGTGTAAGATATCAGGCTATTGCTGTTAAAGGAGTTACTTTTGAAGGTGGAAGGGTTTTTTTCTCCATGGACTGTGCAAAAAACAACCTCAAAGAGGAATCTAGSCCGGGGGCTGTTTTGAGATGATTTTGGAAGGAGAAAGCTGGGCAGTTTCTGGCACTACCCAGCACAATCTGTGACCCTGGGCCGATTTTGCTGCTGGCTCAGTTCCTTGGTTTGGGAAATGAGGAAGGCTGGAGCTGCATGGAGGAAGGAAACACCTGTCATTGAGCTTGGATATCTGAGGTGGAGCCAGACAGAATAATAGAAGGATGCAGAGAGAGACACAAACCCTAAATTGACACTTGTGAGCTGCTGGGAGGAGTGGACAGCCTTTACCTTTGGGTTTAAATTGTGATTCTGGGCTGTGTTTTGTGCTCTCCTATTGCTCTGGAAGCATCTCTGCAAAAGTCTCTGATTTACAGGCTCCCCAGATTGCTCTGGGGGTGGTGCCAAGAGAATGACGGAGGAGGAGGCAGAAATGTGACCTCCTCGGTTTTAGAACAAAACAGGTCAGCGATTTACAAGGATTTTGGTGAGGTTTTATGTCTAAAAGCCACGCCGAGATTAAGTCAATAAATCATCGATTCTTACACTTTGATTTAATGCTACAGGAGGGGGAAGAAGATTTTTATGGATGTTCTTGTTGAGTAATGGCCTCGTACAGCCAACCCAGTGCAGAGCACGTGGTTTTTAGTAATCAATCCAATCAGGGACTCAAACCAAACACWGCAAAGAGGAGCCATATCCCAGGACAGCAAGTGTTGAGGTTGGCTCAGCTCAYGGGCAGATGGAGGCTCAGTTTTGGGGATCAAGGCTGTGGTGGGAAGTGAGGAGACAGCCTGGGAGCATGGAAAGCTCAGGTTTTTAAGGGATGGCTTTTCCTGCAGCTGGTGAACTTTTGGAATGCAGGMTGGRTAGGCACWGTKGTCATCCCATGGGAAGMGAGTTGTCCRAGGGAGATGGSATGAGTGACCCCATGGAAGGGGCTGTTTCCTCYTYAWGGACCAGRKKTGCTGRGCAGAGAGACCCAMCCCATAACCAGGTACCYCTGGGTGGCAGGRACCCWATTTTRTCACCCTWCARTGTGACACAGCCTTTGGAGCCTCTCCTTCCCKCTGCAATCCAAGCAGCTGGAATCATTTTCCTGCAGCACTTTGTGATGCGGTCCAGGGAGATTTTCCTGATGCCAGCTTCCTTTAAAGCCCTTCCCTGTCTCCTTCATCCCTATCCCTTCATCCCTGCTCCTTTAACAACCTTGCTCCCCTTCCTTTGCACAGTCCAGGTGAATAATTTGCGGGGATTAATGTGCCCCATTGATCGCGCCTCGTTCCTTCCCGTTTTCCGTTTGCCCACAAATTGCTTCGTGCTTCCCTCCGACGTTCTGGCTGTTTATCTGCAAAATCATCATTTCTGAGAAGGCATCTTCGATCCTGCAGCTATTGCAAGTCACTCACTCGGCCATCTGAGTCATGCAGGGATCTATTAATAGGACACTGCTGGCTCCGTGGTTTTGGTTCCTGGCTGGCCGTCTACAATGCCAACAAAACAGCAAAACCTGGGGTTTCTCCGCAGTGATGCTCGAGATTGATGACGTGTCTGCCTCTCCAGATTGTCTCCCCTGCTTTATTTCAGGCTTGGGAATGGAGAACATTGGTGGAATCTTCGTGGTGCTCATCTGTGGCTTAATCGTAGCAATTTTTATGGCAATGCTGGAATTTTTGTGGAGCCTTCGACACTCTGAGCAGTCAGAGGTAGGAGCTGGGAGGGCCCTGAGGGGACAGGGTGTGTTTATTGCCCTCTCTGGGGTGTCCTAGAGCATGCCATGCACCCAGCCTGGACACCTCAAACCTGAACAGGCTTGGTCCTTTGGGCAGGATATAAAATCCATGAGTTTCTCGTGTGCTCCTACTCAGAACAAGGCTGTAGGGATGCTCCAGGGGATCAATGATGTGCACAGCATCCAGGTACCTTTCCCAGAGATGGATTTCCACCTGCAGCAGGTTTAGATCTTGTACTGATATGGGGTGCAGAACACGGGAGGGTCTCTGTTGAGAGGCAGGGTTGAGTTAAACCAAGAGGAAACATCTGAGAATTGATGTTGAAAACCAGAAGCACCAAGTCTGTAATAATCTGCCATTGGAGTCATGTCATGGACTCACAGAAAGGCCTGGGTTGGAAGAGACCTTATAGCTCACCCAGTTGGGTTGGAAAAGACATTAAATCTCACCCAGCTGGTTTGAAGAGCCCTTAAAGCTCATCCAGTTGGGTTGGAAGAGCCCTTAAATCTCACCCAGTTGGGTTGGAAGAGCCATTAAAGCCCACCCAGTTGGGTTGAAGAGCCCTTAAATCTCACCCAGTTGGGTTAAAGAGCCCTCAAAGCTCACCTAGTTGGGTTGAAGAGCCTTAAAGCTCATCCAGCTGATTAGAAGAGCCCTTAAAGCTCACCCAGAGGGGTTGGAAGAGCCCTCAAAGCTCACCCAGATCCATCCCCTGCCTTGGCTGGGGACACCCCCACTATCCCAGATCTCCCCAAGCCCTCACCCCTCCAGACCCCTGATGGCCTCAGAGCTGGCTCAGGTGAGCAGAACTCCTCCCTTGTCCCCTGCAGGTGTCTGTGTGCCAAGAGATGGTGACGGAGCTGCGCAACATCATCCTGTGCAAGGACAGTTTCCACCCCCGGCGGAGGCGGGCGGGGGTGGCACGGACTCGCCCCGCACTGCCCGAGGAGCGCCGAGCCCGCAGCACCACCACGCTCAGCAACGGCAAGCTGTGCAGCGGGGGCGAGCCGGACCCCCTGGCACAAAGACTGGCCCAAGAGGCCGCCCTGGTCGCCCGGGGCTGCACCCACATCCGCGTGTGCCCCGAGTGCCGCCGATTCCAGGGGCTCCGAGCGCGGCCGGCCGCGGGGTCACCGGCGCGGAGCGAGGAGAGCCTGGAGTGGGAGAAGGCCACCAACAGCAGCGGGCCCGAGTAATGCCAGGACTGGGGGCACCGGGGTGGGGCGAGAGGGTCCTGTTCCATTTTACAGAACACGGACTTGTACAATGTCAACTCGTTTTTAAATCGATAGCGGTTACCCGGCTTCTCCGGAGCGAGCGGACCTCGGGGTGGACGCCAAGGCGGGGGCCTGGCCGGAGGTTTGGCTGTGGTTTCGGTGTCCACCATGGCCTGGCGTGGAGGGAAGGAGGTCCTGAGGCTGGTGGGTGTCCAGAGGTGGTCTCTGGGAAGGAGGGACGCCGTGGGTGTAGCAGATATCCCCACCCAGGGGCTGCAGGGGTTCTTGGAACATCTCCCCTCCGAGGTCAGGAGGAAGGACACTGGCGCTGCCTCTCCATCACTCACCGGGGATGCTCTCCAAGGGCAGGGGTGGGACTTTTTATTTGCCGTGGATATGGGCAGGGAGGAGTCATTATTTTGGATTTTTTTTTTTGTTTCATTTGGGTATGTCAGGACCCAGTCTCCAAGGCACCAGGTGCTGAACTCTTCTTCCTTTGCTGAGTGTGGAAAGGGGGTTGAAGGGGGGAAGGGGAGGATGGGATGGGGTGGGACACGCTCCCTGTGAGAAGCAGCATTTGTTGGAAGTCCATCTGAAGAGTTGTTAAAATTACATATATAGAGAAATATATCTATACATAGATATATATATATATACATATTAAAATGCCAAAAAAAACAGCCAACGAACACAGTGAACTCAAAGAGGCCTTGAAACGCTTGGAATTTCAGGGGTTCTGTGTCTTTTGTTTCGTTCTGGGGTTATCTTTCACTTTTTTATTTTAATTTTCTGGTTTCGGGATGCGGGTGGGGGAGCCTTTTGAGGGAGGTGAGGTGGGAGCAGGAGAGAGTGGGGGGCTGCCCATCCCCAGCAGCGAGGGAGGAGGTGTTGGGACCCCCAAAGTGTCCCTGGCTGTGCTCTGCACGCCCCTGAGGTGACCCTGAGCTCTCCCCAAATCCGTGACCCCACGGAGCACCCTCGACTTCCAGGGTGAATTCCAGCCACACAGCATTTGAGAAAACCATTAGCCTGGAATCTCATGTAAGGAAAATATTGACTTCCCTAGAAAGAGCAGCAGCTCACCCTCTGCTTGGTACAGATGTGGGGTTTACACTGGCGAATTTAATTTTCTGATTGAAAAAAAAAACAAATTCTATGCAATTTCTGGTTGTAAAAGGAAAGAGATGACAATGGAGAGGGGCAGGGGAGATAAAGCCTTGAGTGAAGGTACATCCTGTTCTTGAATTGTTTTCTTTTCTTTTTGTCTTGAATGTACTGAAATAAAAGATGTCCTTGTATAATCACGCTTTTTTTTTTTTTCCTTTTTCCTTCCCTGTTCAGAGTCAGGAAAGTTGTGAGACAGTTTGAGGCCCGTTTGCTCAGGGAGAAACCCAGGAACTGAAAGGCAAGAGGTGCTTTGGCTGTTGCAGGTCTCTTCTCCCTGAGTGGGTCTACACCTGTGGTGTTGCAGGGAAACAGGAGGAAAACAGGGAGGAAAAAAACCAAAGGTCAATTTTTAAAAAAATGCCAAAATTTCTGGTGGTGGGGAAGGAGAGAACTCAGAACTGACTGCAGGATGAGCAGGGATGCAGGTCCATCCTTCCCAGACCTGCTGACTGGAGCCCAGAGGAGCAGGGGGAATCCAGGATGGTTCCAGCAGATGTTTCTGAGGAGGGAGTGAAGGGAATGGGGTGTGTTCTGTGCCGATGGGCACATTGAGGTGGTTCTGGTGATTCCCCAGAAGTTTCTGAGAAGGATGGGATGTGATCCTTGGTGATGGGCACAGTAGGATGGTTCTAATAATTCCCCAGAACTTTCTGAGGAGGATGAAGTGTGATCTGTGCTGATGGGCACATTGAGGTGGTTCTGGTGATTCCCCAGAAACTTCTGAGGAGGATGAGCAGGGAATGGGATGTGATCCTTGGTGATGGGCTCAGTAGGGTGATTTTGGTGATTCCCAGAAGTTTCTGAGGAGGATGAAGTGTGATCTGTGCTGATGGGCACATTGAGGTGGTTCTGGTGATTCCCCAGAAGCTTCTGAGAAGGAATGGGATATGATCCCTGCTGATGGGCACATTGAGGTGGTTCTGTTGCTCCCAGCAGGGTGTGAAAGCAAGCTCAGCCTCTCAGTGCCTGTAAAACTGCAGCACAGGGAGGATTTAGAGCTTGTTTTACACGATGTCGTACGAGATGCTCACAGAGATCCTCCCTGGCTTTCACACCTGTAAATCCACGGGATGTTCCCCTCTCCCTGACTTGAACAGAACAGTGGGATGAAGACAGGCTTCCCCAGAGCCAGAGGGTTGGACAGGCAGCTCCCCAGCTGAGGTCAGCCAGGAAAACTCCATCCAGCCCTGCCAGGAGCCAGGCTGGGCTTTCAGAGCCCTGACAGCAGCACCAGAGACATCAGAGAGCACCCGTGTTGTGCTTTAAGGCCAACATGTTTTTACGAGCCGCAGAATATATTCATCAAAAGGGAGCTGCTTTTTAAAATTTATTTACAGATTAGCAGAAGAAAAGGCTCCATGAATCATTTATCAGACCTGATGTTTTTTTCACCGCTTCCCCGCGTTGAATAAAGAGAAATCTTGACAGAGCCAGACATTATTCTGCATCTCCAAAGATCTTGCAGTCATCGGCTCAGACAGAGGATGTCAAGGAAAAAAATGATGAGAAACCACCCGGTTTCTCAGTGTCTTTGCTTTTTGTCTCTCCTGATAGCTTGCTCCACCCACATGGTATTTTATACCTGGGTCTGTATTTTAAGGAGATTTGTTTCATGTCCCTCTTGCCCTCTTCTCTCTTTTTAATGCTATTTTTCTTTCTTTTAATGTCCAGAGGGTTTGCACTCAGAGCAGAAATGGACCTCAGATGAGGAGGATAAAAGCTGCTGTCATTGAGATGCCTTTTCTGATGTACTGGTCCTGTATTTTCTGCTCTCTCTAAATCCTTGCAGGTCCCACCAGGAGGGAGCAGGCAGCATTATGCATGTGCTGGGTTTGTGCTCACACACATTTGCGTGCCCAGATGGGTTTACATCTTACATATTCCCTCTTTTACAGGTTTTTTTTTTCCTTTCCTCTCATCTTTGGAACCATTGTGGGGGCCCTTTTGCTCAGCCAGCCCCGATGCTAATGCAGTTCAAGATCTGGGCTAGTTTGCCATGCAAGAGGCACTTTCCCAGTATTGCTGTCTCCTGATAAACCCCGGGTAATTCTAGTAAGATATCTCAGCGAATTCCGCCGGGAGCCAAAGATTAGATCAATTAAAATGTAATACTTTGCTCTCTCCCCTCTCCCCGGTGCGTTCGAGCCTCCTGCCGCCCTCTGTTTCGGGCTCACGTCTCTCCCTGCCCTGACAGCCAATTCTCCAGCCCTGGCTCAGTCCACAGCAGCCTGGCAGCTTCCTAACTAAAAGAGTTGCAATCTCTCCTCGTGGGCTAAAACCCCGTGTTTGTGTTGTTTTTTCCAGGCAGTTCCATTTTCACCTAACGATAAAAAGCTGTTTTCTCCCCGGAGGTTGCATGGGTGAAGGTATTAACGAGGCCTGGACTAACCTGGGGGCATTTCCTGAGCTAAGCCTGTGTACATAAAACAGAAAAGGGTTGTTCAGTGAGCACAAAACCTTGGGAAGAGAGATGCTGAGCTATAAATTATAAAACAGACACTAAGCCCTCGATGGTCCTGAGGCAGAAATTTTTTTAACCATTCCAGATCCACAGAAATCTTCCCTGCTGCTGCCCTTCTCCTTGAGCACTCGGTGCCTCACCAGGTAAGTGACCCCAAAGGTGGAGGGAGATGCACAGGGAACAGGGTTTTTTGGGGTTTTTTTTTGCACAGATCTGGAGTTATCGAGAGGGCTGTGAGTCCCTGTGAACTGGGAACTGCAGCTGTGGGTTCAGGGTGACTGGGATAGACACAGGGACTGGTTTGGGTAGACCTTGGGTGATGGCTCTGAATGGTAAAAAAGAAGCTAAAGACAAGGGACCTGTGAAATCTGCTCATTTTCTGAGTTTATGAAAGAGAAAATCAGCAAAGATGGACCAGTTTGGGGTGAAACGTGGCAGTGAAAAGCCTGGTCTGAGTGAACAAATCCCCTCCATCACTTCAGTTTCATTAGCTCTGCAGTTAATTACCTGCAGGATGGGTGTTGCTCTCTTCTGCTTCACTCATCCATCCAATGGAGGTGATGGGATTTCTTGTAGTGAAAAAAATTCCTGCGTTTCCTAAAAGAAACTTCTTCCCCCTTTTGCTAGAGGGGGAAAAACAGCAGTGCCCATCAGGAGGAGAGCGAGGAACCACTGCAGGGCAATGCGAACAGCCTCAGTGGGGGCAGAATCAGGCAAAAGGAACGGAAAACTTCCACCAGAAATGGTCAGAAATGAGTCTGGGCTCACGTGTGACACTCAGAGTTTGCTGAGGGTCTAAGAGTGAGGGAACATCACATTTTCCTGGAGTGAACACAGCTCAGGGAGCAGCCAAGAGAGCCCAAACTCCTGCAGGACAGAGCATAAAGCAGCCACAGTTCCAGAAAGCCCATTAGAGCCTGATGGCCACTAACTGATTGAAAACACAGAGCTGAGCTCTCCTGGGCACAAAGTGGCTCTCATGAACTCGGTATAAATGGGCTCCCCCCTGGAACCCAACACCACGCTGGGAAAATCAGCCCTGCATCAGCTGAGGGACAATGGGCAGGTTTGTGCATCCTTCACCGAGGGTTTTTTGCCTCCAAGGGGGGATTCTGCAGAGTTCCAGGTGAGTTGGGAGTCTGGTTTGTGCAGCACTTCATCCCAGGGAGCATTGCACACACTCTGGGTGAGGATTTGCAGCTGTCCTGGCTTGGGGGGACTGTGGAAATGCAGGCCTTAAACAACAAATATCTATTTACTTTGGTAAACAAAAAAAAACCTCTAAAAAAACAGTTTTCTATTAAATTAAATTAAATACAAAAAATCAATTCACAAAAAGCTAAAAACCATTAAAAAAAACCCCCACAAAACCCCAAACTTTACCCATTCTATACATTATATGCAAACAAAAACTAAATATTAATTATTCAAATTCTTATAAAATACAAAACTTCTTTACAATAAACAACTTTACACGCAAAAAAAAAATCCCAAAGCAATGTCCATCTATCGATCACCAACAGGGGATGTGTGGCACAAAGGGCCCCACAGCAGCAGCTCCCTGAGCTCGGAGCGCTATGAAAATGAAGGCAGCTTAATTAACAAAGGCTTTCTCCTCCGCTGCGTTGAGTTATCAGCAGAGCTGGCACTTCTCAAAGACTGAAATGACAGGAGTTGGCTGTAAAAGAGATAACTGTCAGATTAGCCGGGACATATCTCCGCCGAGGTTTTCTATATCATACCTATCTCGAAGCATCTCCATGTATCAAAGGCACTGCTTGGCCATTTGCCTCCTCAAAGTACCCTTTCCACCGTGATAAATAAGGCTCTGTTACAAGGGAAAGGCCGAGCATTTCTCGTGCCTTGGCTCAGGCTGGTTTGGAACAGCGTTTTTTGGGCTTTGATCAATCTGTGGAGACGAATCCTTTCTGTTGTTTTTGGTGTCTGATGTATTGAGTGTAAAGGAAAAAAAAAAGACAGAGAATGTCTGTTGAGAGGTAAAGGCAGGGAGATGGGACATTTCTTGCAGGTTCATCCCATGGTAAGTGGGATTTTCTTTGACATTGGTGAGGAAAAAGCATTTTAGACAAGTGTGGTGAGACCCATGTTTTTTTCAAACCTCTTCCATCTTTTCCTGTATCACTGAATCCCAGAATGTTTTAAGTTAAAAGGGACCTTAAAGGACCTTGTTCTATCCCTTTTCCATGTGTAGGGACACTCTGCCTTCCAAGGGCCTGTTTCTTTGCTCTACATCCCCAAATATTTCTCCTCATGTTGCTCAGTCTCAGAAAAAAGGTCTCAGCCTGGCTTTTGCCTGAACTCCCAGGGAATGTTCCTGAACAGAGCCCTCTGGTTTTCCAGCTCTTGCTGGGCTGAGATTTAAAGCAATTCATTTCAAAGCCAGAAATGAGCACAAATGAGGGGAAAAAATCAGGGGAGGAAAAGAAGAAAGCCCTTTTTTTATTCCCCAGATGAGCCCTGAGATGTCTGAGCTGCGAGCCTAAAACTGATTGTTCTTGCAGAGTCTACAGCAAAGGCTCCTGAGTGCTGGTGAGCACAGCCAGAGAGGGTGCTCTGATTGCTGAACTAAACTGGAACGAGGAGGTGAACACACAGCCTCTGGTTTTATTTTTTTTTTTTTTTTTATTATTTAGAACCAG